CATGAGGAGGTCTCGGACCGCATGCTAGCTTGGCGTGCTAAGCCGTCGGCGGAGGCTTTTGCGCGGTAAGGCGGGAACAATGCCGCACGGCCGGGGGTGTCGATAGCCTCCTGGCATGTTGCAGCCCGAGGCAAGACCGAAGCAGACCTGGTGTGAGTCGAGTACTCGACGTATCTTAGGCCGCAGCCGCAGGAGCCGAGCCTCCGACACGTCCGTCTCCTCTCGGTGTGAGGAGGGAAGAGGTCCCATCCGGTAGCGGACCTTGTGCGGGCGTAAGAAGGACAAACGAGGCAACAGGCCGGTGTTACCGTTTGTGGGAAAAAAATCCAAAACCTTACCGTTATCGTTGGAAAAACGGCAGGGTGGATTCTGATATTAACTGGAGTGGTTAATAAAGAGATTCCCGTGCGAAGCAAAAAGTAGCTTGGCGACGTCCGTCGAGCCGAAGTTATGCTTCGTAAATCAGTCTGTTGGAGCCGTTAAAACTAGCTAGCTACTGGATCTTTGTCTCGGAATGTGCTCCGAAGCGAGAAGAGGTGTGTTGAATGGACGCCTGCGTCGTGGCGCAAGCTACTTATAGGGCGTTGGTGGATTCCCTGACGTTGGCGTCAAGATCACCAGCCAATCAGGATTGGCGTAATGAGATTGATGCTTCTGGTGCATACGCGTTGAGGCGCATCCCATAGTGAGACATCGAACGGAGTGTTATGAATGAGAACTACTATTTAGTTGCGTTCACACCAAAAAGTCCCAGGAACTAAATTAGCTCTAGAGAACCTTTTTTACCCCTTTTCAGTCCCTGCTAGAGAGCAGGGACTTTCGTGGGAGAAAAAGGTTCCTGTGTCTGATTGGCTGGGCGGAATGCAAACCACGCCCCGTCAAACTCCCAAAAACGTTTGTGAAGCCGCCATTTTATTATCATTATTAGCATTAGCATTAGCATTAGCCCAGCGCAGAAACGCAGAGAGACTAACTTATGACAACACTAAATAAAACAAGGGAGCGGTGGAGATGAGGAGGTGTCAGCGTTCTGGCCGTTTACTCGGAAGGCTTCAGTAGAAGCTGCTGGGAGTCCCAGCAGCTTCTACTGGAGCCAGTCCCTAACTCCGGGGACTTCCGGCCGGGGATTTTGGGCGGCAGTATACGCCGTGAAGTTGTTTGCGGCCTGCCAGTAAACCCAAAGCAGAAGAAGAAGAAGTGACGTCAGCGACTTCATTTGCCTAATCCACCCCCAGGAACTAATTTCCGGTGTGAACGCGATCTGTACTTAGTTCATGAGAACTAAAGAGTTCTCAGGAACCTTTGTGGGAAAAGTACTTGGTGTGAACGCGCCTATAGAGTTCACCAAAGAAGAAAACACTGGCTGGTAAGGGTTTCTTGGTGAGAACCAACATTAGGGATCTCCAAGCTGGTACAAAGTAAAATGGTTTGGAAGACATAAATTATGTATCAAATCAAATCAAGTTTTATTTATATAGCACATTTAGAAGCGATTTTTGGTCGAGCCAAAGTGCTGTACATGTAATAAAAACACTTTACTACAATCACAATAAAAGACAATAATTTAGAACGGAAATATAAAAAACACAGGGAATAGTCAGCTGTAAATTGATGAACCTTTCCATTAACTTTTTAACTTAACTTCCCTTCATCTATTCCTTTCTTACTCTTCTTATCCCTACGTTTACATGTATCTTCCTCCCTTACCGCTTTTGCCACTGCCTCACCCTTCCATGGCATCTTTTTTCACCTTGAAATTCTACATCAAATCTGATCTTGTCTTAACAAAATTCTGAATTTCAGGAGAAATGCTGTTCCTCTTTCTAATTACCATCTTCCCCTTTTATGTGTAAGTTTTCCCGTCCCCACTTTTGACGCGCTTACAACAGTTTCTTCTCCCTGAATAATGGTTTGTGAATGACGGCTCGTAGTGCGGTTGCTGTGAAGTCTCCCATGTGATAGTCAGGCGCAGGGTCGCTTCTGATCTTGCTGGCGGCTCTTGAGATGATACTTTTGCTCACCCCTATTCCATCTCTGAACATAGTACAACTCATCTATTGCACTCGTTTGCAACCTTTTTTTCCTGCCACCCTCCTGTGCTTATGACGTGTAAGCACGGTTTAAAACTCTTCATCATCCACATACTTGCTCCTGTGCCCTTTCTGTTCATCACTACCTAAATAACGAGGCCAAATTAATGTGCTGAAATATCAGTGTAGTTGTGTGCTGGTCGACAGGATGTGTTGGTTACGATAAGGAGAGCACAGCTGATATCAGTTTGCTGGGCTAATAAAGCATGAAGAAGCTACAAAAACTCAGAATATCCTTCATTCATTCAGTATTTTAAACTCTAATTTCTTATCAAAATAGACTCAGAATCATCATCGCCCTGCAGCATTTAAGCACCCCACTATAAATCTAGCTAAGTATTATGCAAAGTCTTTTGCTAAAGTGGAGAGAAAGTTACACAGGAGAAGGCTTTGACTGTGTGTCTTGCAAGACGTCAGGTGTTTACTTCATGATAACACGTTATCTCAAATGCACCTGCAGAATGCTTGTGAGGTGATAATACAGTACTGCTGAATCTTTTTGGGTTCCCTTTATTGGCTGATTTCTCTCTTCATCAGCTCCATAATCAACATTCCCTACACACAGACATCATTACCGAGATAGATTTTCTGCGTGAGAGTGAGGTTAGAGAGAGACAGAGAGGGAAAAAGCCTCTTCTCCATCTTTTCATTAATCACAAATCAGTATATTTCTCTCCGGAGACCAGACCACTCAGTGGGAAGGAGAATGGGCTCTTTCTCCCCTCTTTTTATCTCCCTTCTGTTGAATACATTTCTCTCTGTTCTTCTCCTCGGCATTTCTCAAGTGTCTAAATGCCAAACCAATAAACCGAGAGACAAAATCCCCTTCCTCCCTCTGTCCTTCTGAACAAGATTACATGTTCAGTACGCTGGTAACCCAGAGAAATTGGCTTTACTTGAACATTTTTGAGGCAGTCGTTTGCCTTAAAAACTGTAAGTAATAAAACAAACGCTCATTCAATAAGAGAAGATTGGAAGAAACAATTAAGCTTAATGCGCTAAAAGTGAATTTAACTTAATATCTAAAGTAAAAAAAACGTTTCACCCAACCATTCAAGTCAATTAGAAGCTGGCAAAGGGCTGCAGTGCTAATAAGGGGTGTGGTGCAGTCTGTGTAAAGGTGCAATGTTTCATTCTAGTCACCTCTGAAGATAATTTGAGTGAAGTTACTGTTGATAGTGTTTTGAAATTTAAATTCTGTTCATATCTTACAAATCATACTGTACCTTTATGCCTGCTTAGTTCTAAGATTCTCGTGAAAACAATGATCCTTTATAATAGAACAATACACTGAGGTGAAGTAAGGTTTTGAAATGTAATATTTAGGCAACATTCACTCATGTTCCTCATGTAGACACAAATCCTGGACTAACACTGTCTGTTTAATATAAATCACAGCTTAGATGGTCCGATCTGAGTGAGCAGACAAATACGCAACAATCGCTGTTGCGTGTATATGCTGTCTCTTATCTTTCCACAGTCAGTTTGGTGTAACCTACTGCTGCACGCCTCAGCAGTCCCTCTGGCTATTAGTGAGATCTCACAGGGCTGAATAAGCAGAGGGATTGTTCAAGTTGAATAACAACACAGGGAGCCTATCAGAAACACAACTTCAGACCAGGCGGGGAAAATCACTAAAAAATAAATTGAGTAAAGCCGTCATTCTAACAAGAAACAGAAAAAATGAGAAGCATACAAAATCGAAGGAAGAAATTGTTTTTGAGAGAAAACTGAAGGACAGAAATGAATTTGTTTGGTTTACTCTGACGCCATTCACTGTTTAAACATGGAATGGTTGGTGCTCCGTGCTGGTTGAACATGTGTCTTTTCATAAGCATATGAAAATATGACCTTGATTTGCAACATATACTGCATTCAATCATGCTCAACAGTGCGATATATAGGTGCACAAAAGAAGACATTGAGCGAGTGCTATTCCAGCAACGTTGAAACCTGAATCACATCTTCGATGTCTATCGCTGCATCGCCATATCCTTCTACACTGATGCAGCATCAACTTGCCTGCAAGATAATGGTGCAAGGAGCGAAGACACCATGCTGACAACAATTTCCACATCGCTGTAACCTTGTTTTTGGATTTCTGTGGCAAACCAACAGCATCACCTTTCAACTATATGTTCATGTGCACTCTGGTTTCGGGTCCACATGTAAAAAGAATGCAGAATAATAAGCCTTCTGGGTTATGGTGATGTGTGTGTTGATATTTGGTGTGGCACCTTGAGTCCCAGTATAAGTGAGGCAGTGAGGGCAGGGAGGAGAGAGGATAATGATCCTGCTGATAATGGAGGAGTGGAATCTTGTAAATGAGGCTGGATATGCACAGTGCTGCAGGCTGTTCCTTTACACCCAGTGTCACACACACACACCCACACATCTCAAAGCACTTCAGGTCTACAGTATGTGCAAAATCTTGTCACATACAAATGAATGGTAAAACACTTTGCCTTACCTCTTCATGTGCCTCTGTATGCATGTGTGCGTGAATACCTGATGTGTGAGGCTGAGAGCACAAGCACTATTAATAAAACATCGTCACCAACAGCTCTGCTTAAGAGGAAGCAGGGCTTATTGCACACATGCAGAAGCAGGCTTTACCCTCATCTCCACTCAGGTAAGAATTTTAAACACATGGCTTAGATTTTAATTTTCTAAATGTGGTATCAGGTAGTGTCTTTTTCCCAAAAGTAGATATCTAATGTTTTCAGATAATTACGACCAACAGCTACACAACTTAATATATAATAGTAATAGTAGCCTCTTTGTGTCTCTTGAAAGGCGCTAAATTAAATGTATTATTATTATAATAACAAATTCAAGCAAGATATGGTGCTCAGTAGATTAAATCAAAACAATCATTATTGTTTCAGTTGTAAAAAGGTCCGACTTTTATATTATGATTTTACTTGAAATAAAATCCTTTCTACTAATTTGTATTCAAATCCATTCAAAACCTTTTTAGAAAATTACAGACAATGACTGACACAATCAAGAATGCACTTTGTGCATAAGAATTACAATAATTTGCAAAGTAACCGATTCAACAGATAAACAAAAAAAGTAAAATACTTAAATTGGACTGATTGGATTTGATATGGCTCTTCTTCATCCCCTTACCCATTACCTATGCTGAACAATAAAAAAAACACACAA